TTCCCAACCCGCTTCTCCCTTTCCTCCCCTAGTTTTGGGAAGTGATAAGTGACGAGCATGGCATTGACCCAGCCGGAGGCTACGTCGGTGACTCAGCGCTGCAGCTGGAAAGGATCAATGTCTACTACAATGAATCATCGTGTAAGTGTGGGGTGGGGAGGGGTGCGGGACGCCGTGAGAAGGGTCACGGGTGTCTCGGAGACAGTGGGTTTGTGAAGCTGTGTTACACAGCTGGTAACACCTCCTCCTCTGCCATCCGCCCCTAAGTGATCCTGGTTTACCCCATTATACACATAAAAGTTCAGCTACTTTATTACAAACTGGTAACTGGGTGTTACCTCGCCAGGCAGAGAGAAATGGCACAAGGGGCTGTCCTTAGGGTCTGGAGGTGGAGGTTTGTTTATTATTTAGCACTTTGCTAAGCATTTGCTCTTTCAACATAGAATTATTTCATCAGATATGTCTTATCAATTGTACTCTTTCTCTGATTTCATAACTGAGAGGGTTGGGTCACAGGTAATGGAGAGCTCAATGGTGATTCATTAATAAGATGCCAAAGGCACCCAATTAATCTGAGTCAGTCTGGTGTTGAAGGATGTTATCAGTGTAAAAAGGGGATCACGAGTCCTTTAGACTATTGACATGAACCTGCAAGTTCAATGTTTCATCTTTTGCCACGCTTAGGTTAATTCATATTATCTACCTGAGTTTCCATGAACAGTTCCAACTGTGTGCAGATTTATCTATTGCTAAAAAAGAGCTTACAAGTGTAATACACTGGAGTATCTATAGGACTCAAAAGATGTCAGGTCTGTTTTTGAAGCAGAACTGATTTGTTCCCATGGTGCTGGGTTTTTTCACCACCGTTACTTCCTGTATAGGAAATATTTATATGTGTACAATCTCCATTAGACTAATAATACGAGACATAATGTGTTTGTGTGTTGAGAACTATAACTGTGTTAGCGTGTCTCAGAACATTAAGGGCATGTTTACTTTTTGTTGTAGCCCAGAAATACGTGCCAAGAGCAGTCTTGGTGGACTTGGAGCCGGGAACCATGGACAGTGTGCGGTCTGGTCCTTTTGGTCAGCTCTTTCGGCCTGATAATTTCATCTTTGGTATGTGGACATCACTTTTTAAAAAACAAAACTATCCAACAGGTGCTTGATTACCAAGTGAATGGTTAAAAAGCATTTAAGCTCCCTATTCTAAAATGGCTGTTAGTACTGAGAAATCCTAATAGCTTAACACCACAATTCAAATTATCTGTAAGTCATCTAAAATATCCCGTTAACTGAAAAAGTTATTCTTCTGTTAATAGTTCCTTCAATTAGCAAACTACTGGAAGTTTCCTATGATATTCAGATAAAGTACATTTGCTTTCCATATATATGAAATCCAGAGAAATCCTGAGACCACTTTTCACTGAAACAATATGCATGGAAATCCTGGAGAAAATGGAGAGGGAGGAAAAAATCCTCAACCACAGACCAACCAGACTGCTCTTCACTTGAATTCACATTAAATGTTTGAGCATTAAATTGTTTATAGGCTGTGTAACAACTTTTTCAGCAGATCCTTACAGTGTAGTAAACAGTAGAGGAAGACCAACTAAATGTTGTCATATATGTAATGTAAACATTGTCATATATAGCCAGTTACTGGCTTACTTTCCAACATAATGAGGAACAGTCTGAGAAAATGTGTGAAACTTTAGGCTTTGCAGTGTTCTTGCAGGGGGTTGTTCCAGCCTTTACTGTTGCACTTTGGACTTCTGTAGTACTTTCCATCTAAGCTTAAAAACGCACGTTACGAAGGTTGAATTTCATAGCATCCTTGTAGAATACAGCAGCATTATTGGTCCCTCTACACTAAAGGAGGCACAGCATGTGAAAGTTAAGTGATCCACTTGCTGAAACAGGAAGTCTGAATGACAGCTACCGTGAGAACTCTCGTGTCCTTTTGGTTTCCAAGTCTGCACTAACCACACGCATTTCTTCCTGCCAAGGCAAGCTTAGGTTGCAACTTAGTTTTGTCTATTGTGTTAACATAAGGAAGGAACATGCCAGGGACAGACAGAGAAAAGATAAATGTTATTTGGGTGGTATAAAAAAACCTTCAGCCTGGGTTGTTGCTGTTGTTGAGGTGGGGAGTAAAGAAGCCATACAAAGTCACTTTAAGTCTTTAACTGACTTAAAACTTCTAATGCTGTCCCTATTGTTCTGTATATTCCATGGCAACAACATTAAGGGTCTCTTTCAAAGGAGTTTTAAGTTACAACGTGTAGAAGTAAGTTTGGGGAGGAAAGCTATAGACATAGGCAGCTTTATGAAGTATGTTTCTATATTCAGGTTTCTCCTTTCATTCCCTTGTCCTGCATGGACCACACAAGCCCTCTGAAAGTGAATTAACCTGACCTATAGAGATACCTGAATTGGAGCTTTGGTTTGGCATACCACCAGTAAAACCAGAGAAAAATCAATTCAGAATGTCTTCAACAATAGTCACAGTACAGTTCACTGTACTCCCTTCCTGCCAAGATAACAATGAACCAACAGCATGTGATCAACTCTTATCTGACAGAGGCCCCTGCCAGCATCAGCTGCTGTCCTCCCAACCTGCTGAATAATGCAGAATGGCTGCCTGAGTGCTGAAGTAATGGTCTTCTGTGTCAAAAGCCAACAAAGCATTTTGTTTTCTCTTTTAAAAATCTGTCCTGAGCCCACAAAGGATTTTGTGGCAGAAGCTGGCAGCTCCATGCTTGCTGTACCCAGGCTGTTAGGGCTCATTCTGATGGAGTTTTTTCGCCTCTGCTTGTATATACCTGCATGTGCCCATGTCTCCATAGCGAGTGACTGTGAACCATGAATCAGGATTTCATTCAAATATATTGAGTCTATGGTCACACATTCCAGATAGATACAGTAATTTTAGCTCAGACCTGCAGGAGATTGAGATGGACACAAAATAACCCTTGTGCTTGTGTAGACAAGATAGCAATCTAAAAGGTCAGGAAGCACAGGTAGATTGAACTTGCTGTACAAGAGCAGCAGGTCTCCTGGCCTTCTAGCAGCATACAATTGCCCACCAGGAACTGCTGTGAGCTCGGATGTATCTCTTGGTAACCAGTTTTCATTTGTACGTTTTTGCATTTGTCGTTCTTTTCTTGTGTATACCCATGATAGCTTTGCTGAATAGGTACCACCCCAATTTAAGTTGTCTGAACTGGTAGGAGCAACCACAAAATGGCTGGTAGCCAAAGGGGCTATTCTTCCCTTTAAATTATACCATTATAGAATCATAGAATTGTTTTGGCTGGGAAAGACCTCTAAGATCATCGAGTCCAGCTGTAGTTAGTTCTACACCAAGGCTGTTCACACTGGGCTTCTAAGCGTTGGTGTGCAAGCTGCTGATCTCTCTTCTGAGGTT